AGAGAGTGGGCTCATTTCTCCCGAGACACCTGAACCGTGCTTTAATTGGTGCAATATGCCCGCAGTACAGCAGGTTCCACAGATTAAATGAATTTGAACCCTGGTGGAGTGGTGGTAATTAAAGATAACGAAGGGCTCTCCCTGTGGATCCCCTGAGTTCTGCTGCGTTCTGCCTGCGTCAGTCTTTTCAGCTGTTTTTTCTTATAAGACTCTACCAGGTGAAGCAGCCTGCCTGACAAATGAGTCCAGGAACAGCTGGTTGCCACAACATCATCCGTGCATGACAGTGCCAGAGGCAACGTGGGCCGGATGGATGACTTAACAGAACCTTGGTGGTGATTATACTGTAGCTGGTGTCAGTGATAATAAAGCAAGCAGCTACAAAATAAATCAAAAGTCGGTTGTTAATTATAGGAAAGCAGCAATGTGTGACAATGGCTTTTATATAATTTAGCCAATTATGTTACTATGTCCCAGAAATAATACAGAAAAACACCACCCTGATGATGAACTGAGTTTAGGTGCCTTCACTCCCTGATATCATGGTTGGATGTGTTTATTACTTATGGGCACTGCGAAACATTTTAGCCTAAACCAGTTATGTTACATGCTTGCAGTTAGAATAAATCAGGGGGGAAAGAAATACACCAATTATGTTTGAATTCAGGTAGAAACAACAAAAGCGTTTAAGTAACCAAGGTGAATGCTTCAAACAACATCAGGTTAAAGCAGCTTGTTGTGTGTGTGTGTGTGTGTGTGTGTGAGAGAGAGAGATAGAGAGAGGGGGGAGAGAGAAAAGCAGAGAACAAGAAAAGAGAGAGGCCCTTATCCATCCCCTCCTCTCCTTCCCCTACGTTTTGCCCTGTTCTCTAACGCTGTGTGGTGTTTTTTGTGGTTTGGAGTGACAAGACCTCAGACCCTGACTACTACCCACTAAAACAACAAGCCAGTAAAGAAGGCATATTATATCCATATTACAATCATATTACATTGCAGTTGTGTGCACATAGAGATAAAGTGATTCCACCTTTGCTGACCCATATCCCATATACACGCTCATAGCCCTATTAAACCTTAACACCTTGGACAACGCTGTCCCTGCATCCAGGAATGAACAGAAGTCGACGACTCAGCGCCTATGTCCAGCCCCAGCTGGCAATGAAACAGCACATTCTGATCGCTCCCTAAACGAACCTGGCCTGTAGACTCCTGTAAATGAAGCCCACAATAACAAACATAAAGCCTGAGCTGATAAAATAAGATAAATGAAGAGATGGGTGAAAAAATACCACAGTGACCAGGCTGAAAACACCCACGAGAAAACAAAAAGCCTGATATTTGCAGTCACCCACACTTTACATATTAGTGAAGTCCCTTAATAGCCACCTGAAGTTTGCTCAATGATACAACAAAAAAAAACGAAGTCAGTAATTATGACTATGCATCGGGCGCTATAAAATCCACGAAATAAGATACAGA